CTCCCGGTGCCTCTGGTCTGCTGGGGACCGTCTCCAGCAGACCAGGGACACCGGGAGCAAAGGAGGCGGAGGGGCGCTGGGGTATAAGACGAAACCCTATCTTTTAACTAAAAAATTAGGGGGTTGTTTTATACGCCCAGTCGCCTTATACGCCGGAAAATACGGTAAGCGAATAAAGAGAGCAACTGTGGTTCCAACCGACACCGATGGAAGTAGAGAAGCAACTGAAGGAACAGCTGCTGCGCATGCATGCTATCAGCACCGCACATGCCATCTGCCTCACATGCACAGCACACCGGAGGGCACTGCTACTGTAAATCTCCGTCTAGACGTGCAATGGTGCCGCAAGACCTAAGGTGGAGCATCCACAGGGACACTCCTTGAAGAAGAACATGAAGTTTTCATACAGTTAGCCTCAGCAAACTTGGGCCTGATGAGTTTTGGTTAACTGATTTCAGATGCAATCCATTTATACACAGGCATACAAAAAAGACTGGGCACACAGTTTTTGAAAAAAATAAAGTTACAGTTTACCATAGTGGAGTCTAATTAGTGGGACATAAAGTGTCAGCATTAGAGAAATTTGTATTGGAATACAAAATGAAAATGTGTGTCTAAGAGCTTCGTATCTCCTCTCTCCAGCTCCTCCTCCTCCCTGCTCCCAATAAGGGAAGTAGAAAGCTATGAGTAAAGCAGGTTCTGAGCTGCTTGGCCTTTATAGTCTTGTCTTGATGGGCAAAATGATGTACTGTTCAATCATGTTACCTCATTGCAACCGAAAAGCCCCACTAAGATGTAGTCTAACGTGCTGTCAACTGTGATAATCCATGTCAATTTAAATATACACCTTTTTCTCCCCCTCTAGGCACATTCTGAGAGGAAGGCAACATGTAGTGAGACAGCAGAAGGCTGGAACCATACAGTCTTCACAAGAGCAGGAGGGAAAGGAAACAAGTAAGCAGTTCAACAGTGGCACAGCACAAATGCAATAGCAGCTTGCACTCCCAGAAAAGAGCAAACTACGATGGGGGGGGCAGCACAGGAATTAGGTACAGGTTGCAATGTATTTTAGAAGAGGAGTTGTGGGGGTCTTTGTAACTTACATTTGGGAAAGCAGCAGGTCAGGGGGCAGGAAGGAGGGATTTGGGAGACTGAGGGTATTCCTGAAGAACAGAGAGAAGGAAGGAAAGATATAGAGCTTGTGTAAGTTCCTGGGAACAATGAGGAAGTTCTGAAAAAGATGCCCTGAATCCTTGAGGCTGCTTACGACAAGGCAAGGCTGAGGTTCCTGTGTAATAAAAGAAAAAGTTCCTTCAGGGACTAGGGCAGAAGGTGGTGCTTACAAAGAGGGCATGTTGGAGAAGAGGCCAAGGTATGATATTTCAGTGAGACGTGAAGTAAAAAGTAGAATTGGAAAAAGAAAGCCACTCGCCATGCCCTACTGGTGCTTTGAAAGTGGATCTGCAGTCTGAACTTACAGTGTGGTGCTAGGAATCCTAGATAGAAGCTGCTCCCAATTCAATGTAATAAGAACATATGAGAAAAGTCAATATGGGGGGAGAGAAGGGGAGAAAGACCTGCAGAGGTAGGGAAAAAAGGGACCAGGGGTAAGTTTCTAGAAGAGGAGAAGCACTATAATGTGGTCCCCTTGATATTTTGGATTATTTTTGGCCCTTGGACGGAGAAGACTGGACACCATTGCTTTAGCTGTACTAAACTTGAAGTCAATATTTTAATTGTACCTACTTCATCAATATAAACTGGTTCAGGCTCAGGTTCTATTGTCTCTACTTGAACTTCATCACTGAACTGTACTGTTTTCTTCTCCGCTTTCACTGTAAAACATATGGACTCTTTAAAAAAAGTCAATTTAAACAGCAAAAATAAAATATTACTCTGAAAACTTTTTCTCTGCCATTTAAATTATTTGGAGGTTAGAATGCATTGTAAACTTAAAACTGGGCTGCTTTTTTTTCCCCCAAAAAACAACACACACAACCCTGCACCTCCTGGAACATATTTATATTTGTAAAGTTATTACCAGGCTCTTAAAGACAAGGGTCCGTGATTTTTGAAGACAGCACTTGGGTGCTTCTGAGAATTTTACCCAAGGCCTTTTTAGGAGTTGGAATTTCCTCCAAGTGAAAATAAGTAAACATATCTAGATGTTAAAGTGCAGAGGAAAATTCTTGTTCTAGCAATAACTACTTAGAAATAAGCCATATTTTATAATTTTATATAGACTGATATAGATATAGAAAATAAGTTGACAGCACCACCTATTAAGGTTGCTGACAGGCATGTGGCCACAAATACGTGCATGCATGTGTGTACCTTAAAAAAAAAATTTCATGGTTGCGTCCAAGCCCATCTTAACATAAGTATGCCAAAGACAACAAAAGTACCCAAACCACCAGTAAGTCCAATGCAAAATCAAATCAGATTTAAATTTATAATTTGTTCGCCCCAGAAGCCTTATTGAATATTTAAAATTTAATTAATTTATTTTTTTTACTTAAGCACTCAAAGGAGATCAGATTGGAGGTATGTTATTCTGTTAAAAGAAACTATCACAGCAAACTGTTGCTTTCATTCAGAACTAAGGATGTCAAATAGCATGTAATTGAATAATTCTGTATCCACATGAAATTTTAGTGGTTACACAACTATTCGATAGTTGCCAGAGGCGAGGCCAGCATCCAGTGTGCTCCTGATCCCATTCCTGGGGAGCTCCTGGCCATCCCATGCAGCTGCCTTTGTATCAGAGGCAGCAGAGCGGAGGGGAAAAAACACATTTGCGGAGCCAGGTCGCCTGGGGGGCTATGTGAAAGCTAGCTCCCTGCACACATTGGCTCCCGCCTGCTACTCTGTGCTGCTGCCTCTTGAGAGGCAGCAACACAGAGTAGCAGGGGGTTCCCGGGAGTGAGGTCAGGAGCACACTGGCTACCGACCCCTCCTCAGGGGACTATCGAATAGTCGTGCTAATACTAAAAATTTAAGCCAGCTATTCACAGGCACCGTTTCCTGCTCCCCCCCTTCCCCTGCTGCCTCTGAGACAGAGATGGGGGGGTGGAGAATGCACATCATCGACGAGATTAACCGATAAACTCTGGCTTACTGGTTAATCATGTAGGCATCTACATGTTGACATCCCTCTTCAAAACATTCCCACCATTTTTATACGCCGCACCTTCACAAGTAAGAGTGTTACGGTTGATTTGTTTTTAACTTTAACTTCAATCACAAGATTGAATTTTTTTTCCAACTAAAAGCTACATATTAGAATTCTTGGAGGTACAATGTAAAAAGTGAAGTTATGAATGGTAGAAACCTCTGCCCAATATATAGATTTCCTCTACTCAAGCTCTAGTCTCTTCTACTTCCAATCCAGTCACTGACCTGGTAAACCTTTTTAAAAAATATTTATTTGTAAGATCAAGGACCCTTTAACAGGATAGTTTTAAGACCAGTAGACACCACTACTAAGAATGCAGCAGAGGATTTCTGACTCCACTTAAATCACTGATGTATCTCTAGTCTTGTAAATGAGCTATAAAGTAGGATAACGTGGGCAAACTTTAATGAACATGTCTGAAGTCTATCTGGGAGATCCTTATTTCATGCGATCTGTTGGTTCAATGATGACGTTTTCATGCCCTCTCTTTTTGTAGATTTTAGAGTGACTTGGAAGTTCAAACTCTGATGCAGACACTCATCGGCAGATCAGGTAAATAAAAGTCATTTGAGGGTGAGAGCTCTATTACAAGACTAAAGCCCAAGCCCAGGTATAGCATCATAGCTTTATTAGTCTCTGCAGAGTATCTGGGGATTAAGGGTTGCCTGTCCTATTCTGTCATTCATCCACATTAGTCCTTGGCTGTAGGATCTTCAGTCCTATCTTTTTCTATCTTTAGAGTCCCCTGGTGCTAGTATCTGTGTCTTATAGCTGAGCAATCCTTCTTTTGACACCTGGGCATTCCATGCTAAATGCTAAAACTGCCTCCTTTTGTTTTGGAGCAGAACACTCTGGTGGTAGGTTTCTCAAAGGACAAGAGCTTACAGGTCCCTCATTGAAGTGACAGATAATATGAACAGTCATAGCCACACTGACCTAGACAAGAACACTAGGTTTGAAGGCTGTGTGCTGAACTTTATTGAGATTATTATTATTTTGCTTGGAATAGATTCAAAACAGTTTTTTTCTCATTTTTAATTGTGCTTACACCACTATATGCACAAACTAAAAATACCAAATGAAATATTGGAAGCATTATATTGTATAATGTATTGTATAAATAATCTTCAACATGAACACAGTGTTACTCACTCATTTCTGGTTCCAAAATTAGAGGGAAATAATCCTATTCCTTGGTGGGTTTCACCTTTCCACCAGTTTGGATCACTGAAGATTAAAAAATAGTTTAAAGTAAAGTGTTCTATATTACAGCTTAATTCAAGTAAAAATGTAAGACATTTCAATAAAATCATTCAACGTGCAAATAAGTTAGTATAAACATGAGGCTATAAAAACAATGAGTAGTCCTGTGGGACCTTAGAGACCCTTTATCCTGGGTTTGAACGAAGATATTAACTGACTGGTGCATTTCAAAGCCAATTTCTTCTGCCTTTAACATTGGCATTGCCACATCAAAAGTTATGCATGGGACACATTCAGCCCACTTAATTATCCTCATTAACCTGGGTCCTACAATTGACTAACATGGCTACCCCTTAATCTATTCTTTTTGGAAAGGATATTTTTAAATAGTTGATACAAAATATTTTAACGAAAAATAAAACTTTCCAGACTTCATATAAACATCCAAATACAGAAAATGTTCAATTGGTATTACGGTGTAGGCCTGGCTTGACATAAGTAGCTTGTCTCATTTCTGAGTGGGTATAATAGGGAAGGTGAATGGAAGATTACATTGTAAACAGGTGCTTGACAAACAGTATGTTGGAATCAGGGTGTCTGTGATAGCTAGGATAAACAGCAACACCTTACAGTTCATCTTAGACAAGATGATCTATAGGACAAGATAAATCTAGAATGTAAAGATCAGATCCCACATAAACAGCACATGGAAAGAGCATAGTACACAGTAATTGGTTCGTGCAAAGTAACCAATCCAATCCAAAAAGTGTGATTAATGTAATGTGTAAATATATTTATAAGCAGAAGTTGTCAGTGTAACTTTGGATTTGTGGTATGCCTTACACCCGCCCTCTACATTTGAGTGTAACCAATTTAGCATAGCTTTGCTGTACGCCAAATACAGGAACCTGAGTGACAAAATCTAGAGTCAAATTGAGTGTTTTGGATGCCACAGAACTGGATGAAGTTTTTTCCCAGAAATAGACAAGGTGTTCTGGATAAGCCAAGTGGAAAAAGTCTCAGAGGGAATCCCAACAGACTGTTCTGTTTTTACTCTCCATGTGCATCCTCACAATCACAGACATTATGCATTGCTGAGAGGTTCCAGCATAAATCATTTGAGGAAAAAAAAAAAGGTCTGTTTTCATGTAATACTGAGCTGTTAGTTAAGGTTTACTACTTACATAAAACCAGCACAAGCATAGAGATTTCCCATAATTAATAACTGGTTGGAAAAACTTGATAGTTTGAGGGAGAATCATTTATTTGCACTAAACCAATCTGTAAACTTTTTGTTTAGTTACTTTTTTAAAAGCTGTATATGTGCTTAGAGAATGCAGATCAGACTTTAAAAAAAATATGAATTACACATTCATTAGTGTCTAATTTATTACTTCTAACGTAACTGTCGAGAGAATGAAGTACAGGCAGTCCCCGGGTTACGTACAAGATAGGGACTGTAGGTTTGTTCTTAAGTTGAATTTGTATGTAAGTCGGAACTGGTACATATTGTAGGGGAAACTCTAGCCAAACATTTCTCCAGAGCTCAGTTTTATTCTCCCACACCTCACTTCCCTCAGGGTAAATTTATTACTTCTAACGTAACTGTCGAGAGAATGAAGTACAGGCAGTCCCCGGGTTACGTACAAGATAGGGACTGTAGGTTTGTTCTTAAGTTGAATTTGTATGTAAGTCGGAACTGGTACATATTGTAGGGGAAACTCTAGCCAAACATTTCTCCAGAGCTCAGTTTTATTCTCCCACACCTCACTTCCCTCAGGGTAGAAAAGCCGCTCCGTGTCTGCCTGGTCTGCTGGGGGGGGGGGGGGGGGGGGGCGCCGGTGCTTTGGTCTCCCTGGTCTGTTGGGGGGAAGCAGCTAGTGCAGGGTTGCCTCACCCCGTTTGTAAGTAGGGATCCGATGTAAGTCGGATCCATGTAACTCGGGGACTGCCTGTATACATTTTGTTTTAAACAGACAATGCTATTTCATTGATATGTACATAGCATTTTTAGACTATTAGTGCCCTGTACATTAAACAAATTTTAAAATCTCATCATCCCATTCACTTTATGCTCATTATATATTTACAATTTTTAGCAGCATAGTTATGTGAGTTAGTGTTTAATAAATGAACAAAAACAACAAAAACAAACACACTTAACATAGCCAGGCCAGGAAAAAAACCTTATTGTAGAGGCAATTATATCAGCAAAAAAGTACTGTTGCTGATATAGCTTAATCCGGATTGTTGAGCAAAATAAACTCTATGCACAAAGACCTTTTTTTGCTACTTAACATTAAAGAGGGGTTTTGCTGATGTAGCAACATCAGCTAAACTTCGAAGTGTAGGTAAGGCCTTATTGCATCAAGAATAAATGAAAATCCTGAGTACAGAGATCAATATTTAACAGAAACGAATTTACCTTCTCCCTCAGAGTATCCTGTACGCTTCTGTACTTTTCAGTGGTGTTATACAACAGACCACATAAAAAAGATAGGATGTCTAAGGGAGAATGGAATGGAATCATAATTTGTGAATTATGCAAAATATGCAATTTGTGAACCTAGAAAACAAGAAATTGAAAACTGAAATGCCAAATAAACAGAAAGGAAGCAGGACAGTAACCCAAGGACCTTTGAAGATATAATTGGATATTAAAAAAAAAAAAAAAATGAAACATGCTTATTAGAAAGCAAATGATCCCTGAAAAAGAAGAGTTACTGTTGCTCTAAGAGTTAAAAATAAGAATTAAAGATAAATGCGGCGCATGGATAATACTGCTGAATTTTGGCCAATTAAGTTTTAACAAGAGAATAAGGTATTTAGAACGGGCATTTTTGTTATGTCTATACTGCACATAGTGTAATGTGGGGCCTCTAAATGCTACCATAGCATCAATATGAAATAGTTAAACAATTATTATTCATTAGCACTTTCATTGCTCTTGGAAAGATTAAATATGTGTGAGATAAAAACATTTCCCCCCCAAAACTGGAAGATGGAGCCAAGAACTTTGAAATAGCTAAGTCCTGATTTCATTTATTCCTCAGAAACAGGTCTTCAAATATTATAATTAACACAACCTGAGCAAAAGAAACTAATTAAGGAAAATAAAATCCATTCCTGAGAAACAAAAAGCTTTCAAAAGAATAAAAAAATATACACCAGCTTGTAGTGCAATTCACAATCACAATGCTATACTTTATCACAATGCTGATTATAGTAGCTAGTGTTGTCAAAAATATAGTAATTATAGAGTTTGCAGACCATAGTTTGTCTGAGAAATGCACTTCTAGCATGTACTACTTCTGGACATCCATGTAAGTTACCTGTCATCAAGTACTGTTATAAGTTCTCCAGCTTTAAAAGTTAATTCATTATCTTCAGCAGCTTCAAAATCATAGATAGCGCGAACCTTTCGGCCTTCATGTTTGTGATTTGTTAAGAGGCTTGAAGTGCTTGGATACAAACTGGAAAGTGTTGTTTGTTGTTGCCTTTGTTCTTTTAGGGACAATTCAATTGCTACAAAAAAAGTAAATAATTTCCTTTAAAATTCAGAGATATAACAAGGGGCAGATTAAAATTTACAAATTGTTCTTCTTTCTATTCAAATTTTGTAGTACAACTTTATATTTGAACAATTCATAATTTCTTCCATTCATTTAGAGACAACTACACTGAACAAAAAATACTAATTTTCATCATCTTAAGGCTAATGTCCACAATTTTGCTCTGAAGTCCATGAAAATTTTAAGATAGCATTCAATGGAAACAGAATCAGTACTTAATACTTAAAGGCCCTGAGCCAAAGTAGTCAGGGGAGTTTTTCCTATATGTTTAGGCACCTGCGGGGGGTTTGATCCAAACATTTTCAACTCAATTAATATTTTTCTTTGGATGCATGTAAGTTCAATTTACATTCTTAATAAAAGCTGCTTGAAGTGTTAAGAAAAAAGAGTGCTATTTTAAAAAAATCCACATTCAGTTTTTGGTTACAAGTTACATTGGATAACATAAAAATCCTTGAAGCTGTCATTTGCCAAAGGTCATAAATGTTCACTAACTACTAATGCAAAAACTTTATACATATAGGCTGTGTCTACACTGGCATGAATTTCCGGAAATGCTTAAAACAGAATAGTTTTAGTTATAAGTATTTCCGGAAAAGAGCGTCTACATTGGCAGGCTGCTTTTCCGGAAAAGCCCTTTTCGCGATCGGGGCTTTTTTCCGGAAAAGACTACTGGGCTGTCTACACTGGCCCTTTTCCGGAACAGTGTTCTGGAATAAGGACTTATGCCCGAGCGGGAGCAGCGTAGCTTTTCCGGAATAGTGGCTGATTTTGTACAGTAGAGTGTCATTGCTTTTCCAGAAATTCAAGGGCCAATGTAGACAGCTCGCAGCTTATTCTGGAAAAGCAGCTGATTTTCCGGAATAAGTGGCCCAGTGTAGACACAGCCATAATGAATATACAGAATCTATATATCTGTTACTAACCTGCTTTGTCATATAGCATGTCTATACTGAAATGTAAACCCAGGGTCACCCAGGTAAACTCAGGTTCATGCCTAACCTCTTTCTATCTTTACTGAAATTGTACTAACCCAGGGCTCAGACCCAGCATCCAAGCCCAAGTCATGATGGGACACTCAGGATTTGAGCTCTATGGCTTTGCATTGTAGACACATCTTTGCATGACTAACATGCTAAGAGACCTCCATAAGTATCCCACAATTCTAAGGGCCAACTTCCTTTGTCTTCTAGCTCAACAATCTCCAGTTGACTCAACTGAAAACAGAAGTGACCATACCTCCTCTTGGCATACAGTGCCAGCTCAGTGGGACAGATTAATCTATTCTCTTCTGATCACTGGGCTGCAACCACAACGTTCAACAGCCTCCTGAGTTTGCAATGGATACCAAACAGAACCAAATGGATACCAAACCTTTTGTAAATTGGGCTGCTTCATAGCCACAGGAGCAGTGTCTGATTTTGGTGACTCTTTGGTGCAAGGACAGTAAAACTGGACTTCAGCAAAAGTATCAGCAATGACCTTGCATACCAGCAGAGAGCTAAAAAGCTGGCAGCTTTGCAGATTTTCCAATACGTGATTAGTGCCAGGAGTGTATTAACAAGACTGAAGAATGAGTACTGACAAGACAAGAACCACACACCTTGGGCAACTTGCCAATGTGATTGTTGTTTTATCAGGAGATTGACCTGGGCAGCAAGAAGTCAACCAATGTGCACAATGATCTAGTCAGCCAGAAAGGTGCCCAGCATGGGGACTGATGGGAGCCAGCAAGAGGCTGTGCATGAGGATCATGAAGTTACTTTATTAAATTAATCTCAGAGAAAGCTGTGGAACAGGATCAACAGCAAATTCTAGGTTTCCACTCCTCCTCTCCCAACCCAATGAACATTTCACTGCAAGCCTGCACAAAAGCTAGTCGAGACAGAGGCCTGTCTAGAGACTCTTAAGTTTCTGATTCCAAGTAAAAAGTTTATTACAGTAACGGGAGGGATTTGTGCTCTATGAACAAATGTACAAGTTATAAGAATCCTTGGCTGCAAGCATGTATATACTAATGGCAGATTATATCCGTGCACCTTGTATCTCCCCTCATCCTGCCCCTCCACCATGTGGAGTTTTAAATGGCAATCAGGAATTGAAAACCGTAAAAAAAAATGGTTTAAAATGATATTTTCCTTGTAAAACCACAGGCTTTTCCAGGATCATTCATATTTTCCTTTTCAGTAATAAGGGCTTGAAATTTGCCACCATGTAATCACTGAACCATCGATGGTGCCACCTGGAAACAGTAAACTCCCGTGTGTTTGGGAAACTTTCTTCTATTTCCAAATCTAGTCCATTTCAATTAGAAGTAGCCCATGCAGTCTGAGGGTGACAATCATTTTTAAAAGCAAGCTGACATTTTTATGTCCGGAACTGTGCCTGGGCTGGCGAGGAGAAAGGATATAGAGATCTGTGTGCAGTAATAGCAAGGCAAATTGTGTGAACTAATGCTGCATCCTTAATGATTCACAACATTGTTTGCTTTTTGACTACTGCTGACACTGAGTGGATATTTTGAGAACTATCCACAATGACTTCAAGATCTTACATGAGTGCTAACAGCTGATTTAGACCCCATCTTTTTATATGTACACTTGGAGTTATGGTTTCCAATGTGCATTACTTCGCATTTATCAATATTAAATGTTACCTACCAGTTTGTTGCCCAGACACCCAGTTTTGAGAAATTCCTTTGTAGTACTTTGCAGTCTGCTTCGGACTTAACTTCGGTAATTTTATATCTGCAAATTTTGCCACCTTACTATTTATCCTTTTTTCCAAATCATGAATGAGTATGTTGAATAGGAATGGTCCGTTGAAAGATACCACTATTTTCCTCTCTTCGTATTGAAAAACATTTATTCCTACCCTTGGTCTCCTATCTCTTAACCAGTTACTAACCCATGAGGTCCTTCCTCCTTATCCCATGACTGCTTACTTAAGAGCCTGTGGTAAGGGACCCTGTCACAGGCTCTCTGAAAATTTAAGTACACTATATCCACTGCATCACCTTTGTCCACATGCTTGCTGAGTCTCTCAAATAATTCTAGTACACTGGTGAGACAGGATTTCCCTTGACCAAATCCACATTGACTCATCCCCAGCAAATTTTGTTCAGCTAAGTAGCTGACAATTGTGTTTTTTACTAGAGTTTCAACCGGTTTGTCTGGTATTGAAGACAGGCTAACTGTCCTGTAATTGCCTGGACCACCTCTGGAGCCCATTTAAAAAAAAATAGTGTCACATCATCTTAGCTTCCTATCATTTGGTACAGAAGCTGGATTTAAATAACAGGTTACACCTACAGTTAGCAGTTCTACAATTTCATATTTGAATTCTTTCAGAACTCTCGGGTGAATATCATTTGATCCTGGTGACTTAGTGTTTAGTTTATCAATTTCTTCTAATACCTCCTCTAATGAGATCTCAATGTGAGACAGTTCCTCAGACTTGTCACCTAAATGGTTTGGGGAAAGTAAGCTATAGTCATGCTGGACAGCATGATGATACTGGCATCCAAATGTTCCTGTAAACACTTAACAGAATTTCATTCTGCCAAAAGCATATTCAACAACCATTCTGCTCCTGCTGAGAGTGTAATTAAAACTTCTTTTGCCAGAGCCTCCAAAATCCAAATAGAGTTTCATAAGCCAATGGAAGGGGGGAGGGGCATGTGGGGTCCTTCAGTAAAATAGTAGGGATAGTAACTCTGCTTATGCCAATGTAATTTGGTGGGAATAGCATTTCAGTCTATCCATGAATGTGGATTCCCAAGTAGCGAGGAATCCTGGCATCATGATGTTTTACAATATAGTCCATGTTGACATTGATAAATTGACCTCTCTGGTTAATGAGGCCCTTCATAACTAAAGAGCAGTATACTTCGTGATTTATGTACTCATGTGCTCCTTGGAGGAGGACAAATTATGGCACAAGAATCTCATCAATCGCCCCAGAGCAGTTCGGAAATCCCATATTCTTAAGATAGCAATTACCTCTGGAATATCTTTAATGTGCACCACCCTGGAGTAAACTACATTCCTGATTACCTCAAAAACCTCTGCCACCTCAGAAACCTCTGCCACTACTTCAACAAACAGTTGATTTTTCAATATCAAAATTGTTATTAATTAATCTATAGCAGTCTGGGGTAGCCAGCTTCCAGACTGTTGTAGCAACTAGAGATGTTAATATTGGGTATTTGAATAGCTGTGTAACTGCATGAAATCTTTGCAGTTACACGACTATTTGATAGTTCCCACGGGTGGGACCAACTCCCGGCCCCATTCCCAGGGAGCACCTTGTCACCCCACACTGCGGCCTCTGATACAGTAGGCAGCATGGCAGAGCGGCAGCAGCCCCTGTCTGTGGGAGGTCTGAGCTCCTCGTGGACAGAGGCTACTTCCATAAAGTTCGCTGTAGACAGAGGCTGCTCTGGGAGGAGTGGAGCAGACAGAGGCTGCTGGGCCAGCTGTGGACAGAAGCTGCCTCCTAGAAGCCTCCCCTACTTCTCCCCACCCTGCTGCCTCCAATACAGGAAACAGTGGGGGAGGAGGGGGAGAAGGGGCAGGTGGCATCACAGAAAAGCTTGCTCCCCGCAGCACCAGCACCTGGCAGTGGGAGGGGGGAAATGTAAGTAGTCAACAAAATTAACCAATAAGCCTAGGCTTATCTAGGTTGACTACTTGTTGACATCCCTAGTTGCAACCTGCCTCTGGACTGGCAAGGATTTGTGTTATTTCTCTTTATACTGGAGGGGCAGGGCAAGCTTCTCACAAAAACTCCATAAATGCAGCTTCATGTGAAAATTTTGAATCCACTGTAGGTCATCACAAGTCTGTAAGATAATGTGATCCGACCAATCTGTGCTTGTAGCCCAGTCTATATAGAGGGAACCAGTGACTATGCCAATTGTACGGAACAGCATTTGCCAGTGCACATCTTCCATGTCAGGGTACTCTTCTGCCATCACTGCAACCACATCATCCTCCTGCTCCAGCATGTCATCCTCCTGCTTTAGTATGACAAAAATGCTGTCAAAAGGCTCACTGATACCTCAAATGGGCTCTGCCAGTGAAAGTGCAAGCAAAAGTTCTTCAAAAGGTACCATCTCCATGCTGCCAACACTGGGAAAACATGGATAAAAAAGACTGTTTAGCAGGCTGTGTTGGCAAGCTATTCAAACTTCCTGAGATGTGCAGGATGGGCACTACAGTTTTCCCTCTGTGCATCATGGTCAAAAGGTTAAAACAGCCACATTTCAGGAGGAAGCAAGGGACTCTAGGATATGGTTGGTTTGTATGGGGTCTGAGCACAGCAGTGTTGACTCCAGACCCCCAGTGTTGACACCAGAGCCTCATGTTGGAGCCTGGGTCAGAAAAGTCTTAGAGGAGGGTTAAGAAACAGTGTAGACACAAGTCCAGGTTCTCTAACACAGGTTTCCTGTCTCAAGCCCCATTAACCTGGGCTTACAATGAGGTGTAAATATGTCCACAGTGACTTGTCAATAGAACCTATTACAGACTTAAATCAAAAGATCATTCTTCTTGATAAAAATTTAAAGGGCCACATATGTTTTTGGTTTAAAAAAAAAAAACTAATAATTGACCCAGAAAGCAGCAGCTCAGCAAAAGAGCAACTCTGCTGAGGCATACCACTGGCATAGGGTCTCATGAATAACGCAAACTCCTGGCTGCCTAAGTAAAAAGAGGAAAGAAGCAAGGTTACTGAAAAGGAGGTGCTGCTCAGGCACCACTACACTATCACAATTCTGGACTACCTTTTTGGGCCCATCATGGTAATTACAGCTAGTGTAACACAGAGCAGCCCCTACGCTGTTCTAAATGCATGGTGGAGAGAAGTGTACAGAGCAGCAATTTGAGCAGGGTGGCGCAAGCAAAAAATTTAAGCCAGCATAGCACACTACTTACACTGCTGACCTCATCAGGTTTTGATACTCTATACCAGGGGTTGGCAACCTATGGTTCACAAGCCAAATATGGCTCTTGATGCTTGAGCTCAGTTCCCCTTGCTTTCCCAGCAGCTGGGAGCCCGAGCTGGCACTCTAGCCTTGTACGCCCTCCTCTCCAAGATTAGAGCGCCTGTGCCGGCTTCCTGTGGGTAGAGACAGGGGGAAGCCCCGAGCCACCTTACCAGATCCAGATTATGGGGCTGTGGAGCCAGAAATGGCTGCATGTATTGCTGCTTCCCTCCCTGCCCCCAGCTGGGGGAACAGCAGCATGTGGACACACTTCCTGTAGACACACTTCCTCCCACTGGAGCAGCAAGGAATGCTTCTGGTGTCTCCCCACTGGCCAGACACCCTGCACTGCTCCTTCCCTGTCCCCCCTGGCCAATCACCCTGCCCCCAACCTGCTCCTGCAACCCTCCCCCCAGGCCAGACACCTACCCCCAACCCGCTCCTGCCTGCTTCACCCTGGCCAGACACCCTGCCCCCAGCTTACTCCAGCACCCTACCTCACACTCAGACCTCTCATTTTCACCCCTTCTGCACATCTACCTCCAGGCCAGATCTTGCACACCCATCCCTATACCACTTACTGGCAGCCCTGTCCCACACACTTAACCCTTATTTTTGTCCTCACTCCAGAGGTTAGGGGGCCCACAAAATCCACTAATCCTGGGACCGCAGAAGTGTAAACGTGACTTGTGGCCTTGAATTTCAGTCCTTCCTGTCCCTCTCCTAACCATAGGGCTGGAGCACCAGAGGAGTGAGGTGTTTCAGTTGGGGGACATCAGTGAGGGTTGGGGGTTTGGGAAGGGTTTTTTTGCTTCTCACATGTGTGGTTTCCTGACTGATTTTTCTGTGGATCATTGACCCCCCGAACCAAAAAAGTGTTCCTCGCTCCTGCCATAAGGACAATGTTGAAACTTTTTGTGTTGGACATATTTTATTTTATTTAAAAATGAAGCCTGGCCAACAAGCGCCCAACGGGGGCCCAGACCCTTTCTGGCTGCAGCGTTATAACATTCCTGCAACCCTCCACACTCCAACCCTGAGTCCATTATACACCTGAATCCCCTGCCCATAGCCCCTCATACCTCCACATCCCCAGTCCCGCCATAAGATTGACAGAAGACAGCCTAAAAACAGCCTTCATCCATGCATGAAGCTGGATTTGACCAGTTCTGATGTAAACTTCAAAGAAATGTGCAAAAAGATGCAGCAGCAGAAGTTCCATTCAATAAAGTCTGAGTACAATGTTTCATTTATGCTATTATTAATCATGTCAATTAACAATATTAAGTTGTATATTTTCAGTCATGCAATGGGCATTCTTATATGGCTCTTTACTGATCACTTGTTCTGAATTTTAATGTAGTTTAGCTCTTTGGTTTGAAAACATTGCTAACGCCTGTTCTAGACTACTACAGCACTGTCTCTATCCTTCTATGAGAGAGACATCTAAGTCAAGTATTTGCACTAAGGTTTTTCACAGTGATGCTTTCTCAAAGATCACATTAACCAACAGGCTATTACAATATCACTTCACTTTTTCAGAGGATAATAAAAAAAAACACAAAGAATGACTTTTAATGCCTATAATTTTAAAAAAATGACTTAATATCTATAAGAAAAATAGGTTTTTTTTAAAAAAAATTGTTGTTTTTAAATATTTAAAATGGAAATAGATAACTGCTATCCATAAATATACTATTAGACATAGCAAGGAAGCAAAACAAAACTCTCTATTAAACAGTATATATTTATATACTGTTTCATAAAGTATATAGATAAAAAATAAATATACTCACCTTTTGCTAAATCTTCCTCTTCCTTTTTGTTAGCTGCTGTACCAGGATCTTTGGCTGCTAGAGCTGGGCTGGCTTTTGCCTGTTCTGCAGCCTAACCAAACACCACGAAAATGAACATGAATTACAATTAACTTTATGGTAATGCACTAAATACACTATTTTATTCTGTTGTGATCTCAACCAAATTTCATGAAGCCATTTATTCTAAAATCCAATGTAAATTACAGCATGCACTCTCTGAAGCACTGTTCAATTTCAGTCTAAAACAAAGGAATCTTATAGAAATGTTAAAATGGCATTTTAGAAAAAAAATGCATTATATAACTTTAAAATGCAAGCTACAAAACCAGAAACATCGATAATAAACAGTATTTGTGTGAAATTCCAAGAATTCACTCATCATTTAAACTCCCAATTCTTTACATAATATTATACCTGTGAACCAACAGCTGGAAATGTAACTCCTTGCTCCTTAAGATTTTTTATCATAGCAGAGATTAAACTAAGTTGTGGGTCATTTTTGAATTCATCTGTCCATTCCACCATGAGAGCTTTAAGCTTTTCACAGACTTTTGGATGACCCTGGAAATGGCAAAAAGTTAAGTATATAATTAAGGAATCTGCTCCTGATACATTTTATTATTTTGTGTACTTGAGATAATTCTTTATTACATTAAATTTTGTATGTATTCTTAATTCTCTTCATTTCCTATCGCAGCAAAAGGCTCTGTTCTACTGCATACAGAAAAAAATTAAGGTGGCGACTTTCTTAAAATGTTTAACCATTTAGTATTGTCTGATGACAAGAACATATTGAAGCACTGTGACAATCACAATGGGTATGAGTCTATCAGAATTAAAATTTATTTTTAAAACACTAAGTTTTATTAGTGCCATATCCCACATCCACTATAGCCAACGCTTCGCCTAAATGTTGAAAAAGATTATGATGACAACTGCTTAGGAACTTATTCAAATATAATAATCTCTCACCAATTTTTCTTTGTTGTGTCAAAATTTTATGAGGTTTAGGTAATGGAGACCTATTAGCTGTTTCACATGCACAAGAAAAATGTACTACTATAATTGAGAGAGAGTGAGAGAGAGAGAGCACGCGCGCGAGAGAGAGAGAGAGGGAATCATGCTCATAGCTACTACATAGGTCTCAATGCATAAAGTCCTTTTTAATCTCTTAAAATAGAATTCTAATGTACACACACTGTTCTCACCACAGTCTGGTAAGAAACCATTTCATTGACAGCCTACATCACAACAGTGCTATCCAACCCTCATATATCTGGAAATTGTGTAGGGATGTGAATTTTAACAATCCCCACTAGCATGGAGTCCATCTCAGAAAGATTTCATTTCCCCCATCTAATTCAGATTCTATCATGAAATCCTACGAAAGAATACCACACATTACCTTATTCAATACATTGCTTACTTCACTAGCAAAATCTCTCGAACACACTTCCAAATGAAAGATTTTACCACAATTTGATACGCATGCTCCTAGAAGCTGAAGAAAAAAGAAATTAAAAGACAGCCAAGCATTGTACAACATAGCTTTTCAGGAAGACAAAGGAAGGAAAGAAAAGACCACCTACTGTCAGTGCCTGCATAGCAACATGAGGATCCTTATGGTTCACTCTCTTCATAATAGACCGAAGGCAATCCTTAGGCCTAATAAATGAGGGGAAAAATTACAACTGAAATACTACAGTCCATGGCTTACATCTCATTATGAGAGACATGGCAGAAGCAAGCTTTATACAAATATCAGGAAAACAACTCTATTAGTGTCAAGTACAAAAACCATTTTTGTCAACGTTACAATTTTAAGAACTGTATATTTAGCAATTCTACCTTCCTAGCCATTTCTATATGAAAGACTGCTAGATTTCTGAATGAGGAGGAGGAATTATTTTCCCCATTAGGCATAATGTATTTTATCTTCTGAATGATAGTCTAGTATAATCCATCTACCTTTATGAAAAAGGCTGTTTAAGAAACGTTCATAACCAAATAACCAACATTATACATTACATATACTGTGCAAAGCACATGGCATTAATTTCTGTGAAGACCATTTTCTAGCAAGAAAAAATTTGTCCCTGCATATTCAGATACTCTGTATGAGCAGGAGACACATCAGTATCCTATTTTAGTTTAGAACAGCTTTCTTTATGTATATCTACATAAAACAGAAAGATGAACAAAAACTTCTTATAAATTGGAGGCTAAATACTCTTCATCAGGATATTTCATGTCATTAATATGTAGCATCCTACCAAATTCAAAGCCAGGAAAAATGTGTGTCTGCCTGTGAAATCTGGTCTTCTGTGTGTTTTTACCCTGTATTATACAGATTATTTGGGTGGGGGGGAGAGAGGGGAGGACCAGTGTTCCTCATATTGGAGTTCCTGATTCAAAAAAGAGTTGCATGTTTATTTCTGTCTTCAGAACTGGGAGGCTGGAGAGTAGTAGCAGTTGTCCAGGCAACAACTCTGAAGGCAGCAGTGCCCTCCTAGCAGCAGTGCAGAAGTAAGGGCGGCATGATCATAGCATGACACCCTTAATACTGCACTGCTGTCTTTAGGGCTGGACAGTGGTACCTGCTGACTGAGGGCCTAGCTCTGAAGGAAGCAACACAGAAGGAAGAGTGGCAATACCATACCATGCCATCCTCACTTCTGCGCTGCTTCAAAAAACAGAAGTTAAGAGTTCTGCAAATCGAGGGCAGCATTAGGGATGTTACATTTCAATTAACTGACTAATCGAATAATAGATGCAATTTGCATCAACTATTCAATTAGTTGATAAGGTCCCTCCGCTTTTGAAGTGTAACTACACTTCAAAGGCGAAAGCACTGAGGGGAGCACGGGGCCGGTGGGGACTCATGCAGTCCTCTCTGCCCTTTGCTCCCCGCAGTGTTTCAAAGCAGCAGCACCGTGTGAAGTCCAGGGTCTGGCCCTGGGCTCTATGTGGCACTGCCACTTTGAAGTATCCGCTCCTCTCCCCCTCCAACTTGCTGCCTCTTTCAGATAGAGGTAGCAAGTGGGGAAGGGGAGCGACTAGTTGACTAGCCTGTCAACTATCCAATAAGCATTTGCATACCAGCATCCTGGATTCAGTGAGGGGATGATGGAGGCAATTGCTAGGGCTGCCGAATCCACCACATCTAAGGCCGCTTGTAGGGGCACTCTTTACTATAGACGTCCCTTCCTCCATGAGAGATGCAAACTCATCTGGACTCTTGGAAGAACAACTACACTTCAAAGGCGAAAGCACTGAGGAGAGCACGGGGCCCGTAAATTTCAGCATGGAGTTCCAGGAATTACAATTTTATCTGCTGGGCAACATTTGTTGATTTGGGATCCTGAACTGTAGGTGAGGGGGCCAACAGTATTTCAGGGCCCCTGGGCAAAGCCGGGGGAGAGGCGCCCTGCTCCCAGAAGGGGCAGGGAGAGAACAACTCTGAGCCAAATGGAGCATGCTATATGGCAACTGAAAGGGCCAAGGACTCCAGCCAGCACTGCTGCTGAGGTAGAAGTGGCAGAGCTCGGGCCTTTTTGAATCACCAAGCCCCAGGGCAACTGCCCCCTTTCTGTTGGTGGGCCTAGCTATAGGCCTGTCGAATAAACCTTTCTGCCAAAAAGGCCTAACTTTTTGGTATCCTTAGTCTTGGGGGTTGCCCCTTGTATAGTCTATTATTCCTCTTTATTGACACCTGACACCACCTACATATAGGTTATATATCAAAATATATATCCCTGACCCATGACAAAGCAGTTATTTTCAGTCTTCTTTGCCATCAACTGCAGGGGCACTGAGGTCTGCCCTCAATACCTTTATGGCACCCATAATAGCCTAATTAAGGGTCAGTGCCACTCTTGATGGGCATGTCGAGGTTAAGAGGTCTACTAAGGCAAAGAAGGGCTCCTGAACTCCTAGCTGCCCAAGTTTTGAGCCACTCTCAAGGAGCTCTTGATGAATTCTATAGTAAATCTGAAAGGACACCATGTCCACTCCTGCCACTGCCTCAATCAGAAGAGCAGCAGGAAGTCTGTACCAGTAGGATGCACTGTATCTTGCCCTTGGAACCAGAGAGGTCTCACGGATTCGTCTCTAAGTACTTACTGCAAGCTTCAGTACTGGAGCCAGGATCTAGATCTGAGCGGATTAGATTCTCTGGCCTTAAATGCTGCAGAGAATGACCTTCTAGTTTGAGGCCCCTACATCAGTGGGAAAGCCCAGGAGTTCCAAACGGACCATTGTACTGGCTTCTGCCATTGCCCCAAAGGCCACACCATGGGTAGGATTCTCTGGGACAGGCTCATGGTAGGATACTACAAGCTGGACTGATGGCTTCTGCGTGAGGCATATGACACTTCCTCTGAGTCAGACTCTGCAGACTCCCTGTCAAAGACTAGAAAACAGTGGTGCTCACTGGTGTCAGAAATCAGTGCATAGAGGAAAGGGATTGGGACTGGACCATCAAAGCAATTTCCCCTTGGGAGGCACCAGAGTTTTCAGTGCTGTAGAAGTTCTCCCCATCAGTGCTGAAACAGCACCATTGAGGAGAAATCTCTTGGTGTGGTGGGTGCCCTAGCACCTAAGTGACTCTCTCAAACTGGCAAATTCATCTAGTGCCAGACTCAATGGTGCCCTCTCCAGGACTGGTGTCAATAACACCAAACAGATCACTGGAGCTGTGGTGTGGTCTGACACTGGTTGCACTTTACTAGTCTTCCATGCACTGTCAACCTCAGGATTGGGAAGTGCCCTCTGTCAGTCTTCCTCTACTTTCTCCTTGGCACTGGAGATGGTACCGAAATACTTGTAAGGTGGAGGGAATGCTTGTCCTCAGAACTAGTGATAAGGAACAGCGCTGAGGATCCTGAACAGTTTTATTCTATGCATTGATATTCTGACCGAAAGTGAAGTATACAGTGCAGAGTCTAAGTGATTGGGCTCAGAGAAGGAGGCATCACTGAGTTCTATTACGATGAACTTCAGGCCCCCTCACCAAAAAAAAAGACAGGGACACTAGACTGAAGTCCTTTCAGGACTCCAAAACATGAACTCCGCACCAAGCATTTAAGGCAACTGGAATGGGAGTCAGTCACTCAGAGGCACAGATTTGTGGCATAAGGCTTAAAATTTGGGGTCCAGGGCATGCCCCAGCACCAGAGCAGAGTGAATTCTACTAAATGGCTAACTAATAACAGATCCTATTCCAGTCTTACTCTACTTGTATGAAGAAAAGATGTGAATCAGCAATACACTGCTAAAGAATGGCTATACCTTCCAAGTATAAGCTGCCAAAAGATGAGCTATCTGAACAGAGTTTAGATTTTGAAGGTTTTCTTTACATTCTAACAGGTACTAATAATATAAAAAGGGAAGTTAAGAGCAAATGCTGCAGTTCCTCTGGAATTTTCAAACATATGATGTGGACCTGTTAAGATAGATAGATAGATAGATAGATAGATAGATAGATAGATAGATAGATAGATAGATAGATAGATAGATAGATAGATAGATAGATAGATAGATAGATAGATAGATAGATAGATAGATAGATAGATAGATAGATAGATAGATAGATAGATAGATAGATAGATAGATAGATAGATAGATAGATAGATAGATAGATAGATAGATAGATAGATAGATAGATAGATAGATAGATAGATAGATAGATAGATAGATAGATAGATAGATAGATAGATAGATAGATAGATAGATAGATAGATAGATAGATAGAATATTTCCAACATTCCAAACCTGAGCTGTTCCCTCAACACCAAGTTGGGTTTTTTTTCTTTCTTCTCAAATGAATTTACAACAGGTTTTTTTCCTTCCACATATAAAGTAGTTTTATACTGTGCATTGATAGCTGATAACTAAAATAAAACTCTTAAGTTACACTATTGCTTGGCTACACTATATTTGGCTGTGTCTATGTTTTACATAAAATTTCTCTTTCACAGGCAGTACTACCAATTATAGAAAAGGCTGCTACGTGGTATGGCTGTTTTACTCAGTACATGTCTCCACAAAATGGATTGAGTATTTATCAGAGTAAGAAAAACAAAGCAAAATTTTTCTCCCCACAGTTACTGCAATACAAACACACACTTTGGAATAAATGTTGTCCATGCAGTCATTAATTTGATACACTTCAATGCAACTCAGAATACAAACAGGTACCTTTCAGTAACAGCTGTTCTTAATATTAAAGTTAAAATGTAGGTACACCCAAGAAAACAACATAAAAGGACAAATATTCAGAGGGATGACAATTAAGTTTGGCCAGCACTGAAAAACTGTCATCAGTTCACCAGCCTCGGTACAAAATCTATTTATCTGAAATTGATTATGATTGGGGTCCTATGTAAATCATGATTTCATGGAGGGCACAGAAATCATGATGATACTCCAAAAATCAAGATTTTCAATTTTTTAAAGGAACAATGCCTAGAAAGTATTTAATAGGAAAAATTACTGTTATCTTACAGAGCTGTACCCAGTCTAAAGTGTTCCTTCATAGATTACCTCCACTCAAACAATTGTTCATTACAGCAGAGTTGCTGGCCTGCACCTTGGAATAAATTCCTTGCTGGGGAGGTTTTGTGCTTTCTAGGACTTCATACTTTGTCTCTTAGGGTACGTCTACACTAGCCCCCTGGTTCGAACTAGGGAGGCTAATGAGGGCGACCAAAGTTGCTAATGAAGCTCGGGATTTAAACATCCCGCACTTGATTAGCATAATCCCGGCCGGTCGCCATTTTGGAAACTGAATAGCCCGAAGTAACTGCCCGCATCTATAAGCAGCAGAGAAGCGGGATTCCGAGATAAACCCCTTAGTTTGAATTAACTGTTATTCCTCATGGAATGAGGTTTAGGACTAGGGTGTAAGAAAGGTTGTGGAATCTGGGAGGGATTTTGGGTGACGGAGGGGGCTGTGACCTAGGGCAGGAGACTGGGATGCAAGGGTTTGTGTTGTGCCTATGGCAGGAGAGGATTGTGACTCAGGGAGGGGAATTGGGGTGCAGGATCTGGGAGAGGGTATGGGTGCGGGGGGGGAGGGAAGAGTTTGGGTTACACGGGGTAGGGGGCAGGAGTGAGGGAAAAGGGGGTTAGAGGAAGAGTCTGGGGTGCCAGAGGCAGGATCTGTCTGGGAGACACTTACCTGGGTGATTTCCAGCCAGCAGTCCAGCAGGTTCCACAGCCAGGCTCCCTGTCTTCCATGCTCCCAGAGGCTACTCAGGGTAGCCAGCTACAAGTGCCACGTGTGCTTCTCTGAAGGCTGAGCGCCAAAGGGGAGGTTGGAAGGGGTACTTCATGCACTGTCTGTTCTTCAAATAAGCAGCTCTCATTGGCCAGAAACCAGCCAATGGAGCTGCAAGACTGTGCTGGGAGAGGGGGCAGCACGCAAAGCCTCTCCCCGCCCCAGGCTTGCAGCATTCACATACACACATGGCCCTGCAGTCAACTTTTCTGAGCAGCATGCAGGGTGCTGCAAACAGGGAGCCTTGCTGAGACTCCCGCTGGGCTGTGGATCCAACAGCTTGGCGGGACAGATCTGACACGAAGGCCATATTTTGCCCACCCCGTTCTAACTGAATTGTTAGCTAAGTGGGCTCTTAAGAGGATAAATTCAAACCATACCTTCCCAACTTCTAAAATAACATTTTTATGTCACTACATACCATTTTCCACTGCACACAACTCCAAGCTCCTTCACATTAACTACTATTTCTATAAGAGATTTCTCCAAAACAATCAGTTATGTGACTCTGGAATCTCAAATAATCTGATTTTTCTTCTCAAGAGTAAAGCCATAAATAAAACCTA